GGTGCACCACCTGACAGGTGTAGGTGGCTCTGGGCCCCGATGAGGGTAAGTCCAGGGTGATGGAAGCCTGGAGGGGTCCGGTCGGGTCCCCACACTCCTGCAGTGGCTGGGTTGGGGGCAGATGGACACTCCCTTGGTACCAGGCGAGCCGGGCAGGTGGGGGGTAGAAACCAGCGGTTCTGCAAACCAGAGTCCATTTCGACTCCGGCTTTGGGTGGAACTGGAGGAAAACAACTGGGTGGGAGGGTCGGGCTGGGGTGGAATGGGACAGACAGATGGGGGAGGGGGAGACAGACAGACCGACAGAGCAGGAGAAAAATAATCAAACTGACACATCTTGGGAAAGAGTCATAAAGACATTGCAAGAGTGGACTGGGACACAGGGCCTTTCCCCAGTAGGGGGTGCCAGCTCCAACCTGGACCCAGGGCGGGGGACTGGCTGGTTCTAATCTCACATGCCTGGAGCAGCTCTCATCCCTCCAGCAGGGGGCAGCACAGACACACAGCGCAGTTCTCATCCCTCCAGCAGGGGGCAGCAAACACACAGAGCAGTTCTCATTCCCTCCAGCAGGGGGCAGCACACACACAGAGCAGTTCTCATCCCCTCCAGCAGGGGACAGCACACACACAGAGCAGTTCTCATCCCCTCCAGCAGGGGGTAGCACACACACAGAGCAGTTCTCATCCCCTCCAGCAGGGGGCAGCACACACACAGAGCAGTTCTCAACCCTGCAGCCTTCCCCGAAGGACTCAGGCAGGGGTAGGGACCCTTACCATAAACATGCAGCTGGGTCCCGTTGCCTCGTGCCTCCCCGGTGCCCCACAGCAGCACCCGGCAGACATATTTCCCAGCATCCTCCAGGCTGACGTTGGTGATGGCCAGGGTCCCTTCCCCTCTGTGCAGGAAGGTATCGGGATAGGCCAGCGTGAAACGGGCTCTCAGGGGCACAGCGGCCTCTCCTCCCGGCCCGCCTCGGGACCAGGAGACGGCGCCCTTGTCCGGGGACAGGCCCCGAGAGAAGGTGCAGTTCAGGGTGGCATTGTCTCCCCGGATGACGCCCACCTCGGACGGAGACTGCACCACGGTGAAGTTGGCATCTGTGCAGAGACACAAGCATGGGGAGGGGCTACAGCAGGGTCCTATGGAACTCCCCGCCACTAGATGTTAGTGGGGTGTTTCTGTGGGACTCACTGCAGCATATTAGTGCATTTTCCTCATGGGACTCCTGGGTTCTATCCTTCGCTCTGGGAAGGGACTGGGGTCTAGACCCCTCAGGGGGTCACAAGGTTATGTGTGTGGGGGGTTAATTTATAAGGGAGGATTGCACTCATAGGTCACACTCATAGATTTGCTATGTGAAAGGGGTCACTGGTACAAAAGTTTGAGAACCAGTGGGTTAGAGCAAAGGGGAGGGGCTAGGAATCAGGACTCCTGGGTTCTAGCCCTGTCTCCGTGCAACCTTGGGCGAGTCACTTAACCACATCATGCCTCAGTTTCCCCATTGTGTCACTTCCCTAGAGCTGGGAGCAGGGATTTCTGTGCCAAGGGCTCTTAGCTGCCTGCTAGGCTCTTACGCAGAAAGAACAGAAACTCCCCCCCCCCCCGCCACACACATTAAATGTTTGTGCTCATGTCTCACTCTCATCCGGTTTAGTTCAAGGGAAGCTGGCGTCAGGCCAAGCCAGGTAACGAGGCCATTGGGAGCAGGCAAAGCGAGACTCAAACCCGAACGGCGCAGATCTCACTAATGGGCTAATTGCCACGCTGGCTACACGCCAGTGGATTACACAGCTCCGGCGGT